ATATATATATATATATATTTTATTGTACAGTACATTTACACAAGTGTTTTATTATTATACTAAAAATACAGATCGGAAACACATCAGATTTTTATTCGAGTCTGACCGATATATAAATACATTTATCAAAAATATCACTATATACTGAATTCTATTACTACTTAAACTTTCGACTAGCATGCAGCTAGAAATGCATTTAAAAATACAAAGTAAATATAAATTACCTGTATTTGAGGATTCTAAATGTGAAAATATTGATCATATGATTAACAGATAAAAGAAACAAATAACAGTTCACAAAAAATAAATACTTAATCTTAAATATAATATTACATTCAATTTAGGTTGTATGATAACAAAAGAAGTAAGAACAATAAATCAATTTTCGATATGTACTATTATCACAGTAAACAGTGTACATTGTTTTTTGTCTGCTTAGAGTTGGAAGAAAGACTTCCGTGAGAATATGATGTTTGGTATGAGACAAACAATTCAGTTATTTATAGTACTATATATCTGAAAGTATGTTCATAAATTGCTAATACTGGTATTTCCTTTGCTTCGGTTCTTTAAAAAGTATGCCTCTTCTTATGAATTGAACGTGTAGAAGACGAAGTAACATGGTTTCGATGACAAATTCAGCGTCGAATAATTCAACATGTGACTCTTGAAACATACTATAGCAATAATTTTTTTTGGAATTCCATAAATAATTATTATTTTATTTATTATTTTTTTATAACGCACCTAACTAATAAGATGGAATACTGCATTTAATAAACTTAAAGATTTAAAGATTGTCACTGGATTTATTTCTTTTCTTTCCATTAGATTTTCGTTGATATTCGTTAATTTTATATTAGTTATAATGATAAACTTATATCGAATTTATATAACAATAGTAATAAATAGGATTGTCACCTCTCCAGATTTTGAAGGTTTAATTGCGAGCTCAATTATGATTTCTCCGGGTTTGGAATTGTATTAAATAATTTAAATTATCCAAATTTCAATTAATTTTTAAACTATTCGATTAAGAAACTTGTTGGACTATTCTGAAATTCAATCTCCAGAACTATTTATCAAAATAAATTTTGACATGAATTGCCGAAAATTTTAAGATAATAGATCTGAACAAGTGGAACTCCTTAAAAGTCCTTAATATCCGAGTGGATTAAACCACTGAATGTTGGTGGTTGATTTCGGGTTTGCGCCCGACTAAAGGGCTAGACAATATAAAATTTTACGGATTTTCTTCGCATGTCTAACATTTAAATACGGGCTAATTTCTCAAAGAATACACTCTTTTAGCAAATTGCTCTTGTTATGTTGCCTTACCGTATCAAATAGAATTCCCCCCATAACTTGATTTCATTCATTCAAAATGATAGAAAAATAAAGGAAATAAAAGTGAACCATTTTTCTTTTATCAATAAACTTTATTAAGAAAGAATAATAATATAAACAAAATATTCTCAAAAAATAATTACTAAATGTCAGAACCGCATTGAATCCCCCATCCCCATTAGTTCTGGGATGTCATGTTTCTGTAAAATCGTGATAGTAAGATACTTATAGGTTCATTATATCTTAACTACAAGGGTTCAAAAGAATTTTTACGTTTTTTACTGGAAGGAATATAAACGAGATTTTTTTAATGAGATTAAATTCTAAATAAAAATATTATTTTTAAATAAAATTAAAAACTTCAAAATTTATTTAAATTATTATTAGTCAGCCTTCTAATGTTGTTATGAAATCATTTTTAAACTAAAGACAGAAAAGTATATTATTTTAAATTACACATAGACTGCCTACACAGTCTATGTGCAATTTAATTTAAAATAATATACTTTTCTATACTATAGTAGTATATACTGCCATTTAACAACAATATAGCTTAAAATTCTTCAAATATTTAATAATATTTATTTCGTTATTAAAAAATTAAAAGCGTAACTTTTAAAACTATTAATATACTTTAACAAGACAAAATAGTTTAAAATAAGATGATTTTTCCTTTACTTATATTTTAACAAATACTGTACTGTGGAATATCTAGTGATCACAACAAAGAACTATCTAACTATAATAATAAAAACAACAATTATTTAATAATAAAAACTTTTATCCGTAATCAGAGGAACCCCGCAGAGAGCAGAGATAAATGAACTATATCAAAACAACTGACAATGAATGGCCACAATCGTCATCCCACACACAGAGTGACTCACAGAAGTTTCAATTCATTATACAAGTACAGGTAGTTACTTTAAAAACGTATAATTCGTTTATGTCAATAAGAATAACACATCTTTGAACTTCACTTCTAACATATATAATTTAGATTTTCTTACTTTATAAGATTGTGAATATGAGAATTTTTCCCTGTATGCATTTATGACAGTGGGGTTTTTCTTTTTTTATATTTGTTAGGGAAGCGAACATATATCTTCGCATTTACACTTTAAGTAAATAAATAAGCTCATAAAATTGAAGAACTAATTACATCTATAATTCGTAGACTAAATTTTATTTTTAGGATTTAATAGTAAATAGTAGTCTTTATACAATTCTCTCAGAGTTTTTGATATCTATGGCCCGTCCAATATTAGGAACTTCCTTTTCAAATAATAATTTATTTTCGGATGTTTCCCACTGTTTCTCATTTAATCTGACAATGCATCGCTATGTAAAACAGAAAAAAAGAATATAATTGTATTTTCCTGTTAAATTTCCATAGCCAAAATGGTAAGTCGATAGCCGTCCGAGAGAATTTTAATTAATAAACTTCGAAAAATGCCAAAAATTGTATGCCTATACAATTTTTGGCATTTTTCGAATTTGCTAGAAACCATTTATGTTTCTAGGTTTGATATATTCTTATAAAATTTAGTCCTTTATATATTGTAAAAATAAAGAAAAATTATTTTGACAAATTGATAACTTATTTTATAATATTTTTGTTTCTGAAACGTTATAAGCCTATTGGTTTTCTACAAGATAAGCAGTTTTAGAAAAATTTACAACAAATACGATGTGCATTTTCAAATAGCACGCCAAATAATAATGAATCCACAAATATCTTTTTCAGAACTGGCTTCCTGTTCTGTTTTCGGTCGCATTTCATAACGATCTGGTATAAATTACATAGGTTAAATGAAAAAGTTGATGTACTGTGTTTGTGTGTGTATACACATTCTGTAATCAGTTTATGAAACAAATAAATATCATATATACAAAATAAATAATTATAAGAATAAAAACATTAAATATTTTATTATATTTAAACATAAAAAGTTATGCCTCATTGATTTTTCGCTAAATATTCATCATTCTTGTGTTATATTACAAAATTATCATCAGTTGTTTATAATCTTCATTACAATAATTTCATTACTGATTTATGATAGTCATTTAATGTACTGAATTAAAATTAATAATATAGTAGAGCAATTTTGTATCTGATAATTATTTTTCGGTGAAACTTTCACTATTATTAAATTTATTAATTGCTAATCTTGTAAATTCATTATTCTATTAACCCACCCATACTAAATTGTAGAGAAGCATTCTACAAAATAGAATTGAAAAACTTGCATATTGTCTAACGTGTTTTTAATAAAATTTTTGTAAACTTCTATAAATTTTATTATAAATTCAAAATAATAAAAGGAGATACAGTAAATTTAGAAACTACTACTTAAAACTTGATATAATCCTACGAAAATGAAAAAACAATCATCTTTAATTACATTAACAAGAAATATGAAACTTTTAGCGATAATTACTTTATTTTCTAATTGACTTGGATTATTTTTCTTTTTTCGGAGTTGATTAGATAATTTAATAATAACAAAAGACTACGAATAACAAAAATAAGTTATATATTTAAACATAAATAATTAGCTTTTAAAGTACGTTTTAAAGTAAAGTCAGTACATTACGATTCAATAAAAAAAACTGCTAAAGTTTTCTAAACAAAATGTTAACTCACCTCACTGTTATGAATAAAATTTTTGATGCACCCATCAAATCCAACTCTTGTGTGTCGGTGTTCCCAGGTGTAATCTGTTAAAAGTTTATGATGGACACCACCAATTTGAAGTGGTGTATTCACATTTAAAAATTCATTGAATGGTGGAATTGTTTCTATCTTTTCACAAAGAGAGCGATCAATTTTTGGAGGATCAGAATCTTCAAGTTTTGCTTGTTTACAATTATCAATAACAATACGAACAGTCTAAAATAAAATAAAAATTTATTAATAAATTTCTCTCATAAGGATTAAATTTAAAATTAAAATACATTTATTTCTATTTCCTTAATAGAATTATTTCATATTTTCAGTTCTTAAATAAACAACTTTTCTGAATTTTGAAGTAAGATTATTTCATTTCATAAATAATTTTAATTAGAAAAAAATTCTATTATGCAATTATAAACATAAATTAAAAGTTTTAAATAATGTTATGCTTTCATCATCACCACCATTGTCATTTATTAGCCATTAAAAAGACTTTTTCTAATGTTCAAATTTGAAATTATTTCATCTTTATATATATATAAATATATATATAATATATATAACGAAATAAAAAAATGAATATTTTATGTCGAAAACAACAAAATGCACATTTATTGATTGAAATTTTTGGAAAAATATTTCTTCTCTTAGATTTATACCTTTAAAGTTTGTTCATTTTATAAAACTGGGTTTGTTTTTAAGATAAATATTTTCAATATCCGAAATAAACCATTAATCTTATCATATTTATATCTGTATATTAGAAATTATTTCAGAAAATTGAAATTTAAATTAACTAATAAAATAATTCTTTGACAAATTATTAAAAATTAAATTGATAAAAATAAATTTAATAAGAAATTACAGGATTAGAACAACTAGAAGTAGACGTTAGTCGCCTTAATACCCCTTTTCTTTTTTTCTTTTTTTTAACTGANACATATATTCACGTATTCTACTATATTCCCGTATTTTGAGATGTCATAATCTTCGAATTCCTTGTGTCATCTATTGTGGCATGTTTATCCCCTCACCCACCTAAAAAGTATGACGTAATAGACAGTAGTACGATTTGCTTACAAGTAGAAGTATTATGTAATTAAATCTACAAATTTTAGTGTTTATTACTGGGACTTTTTCGTAATGCAAATTCTAGGAATTTTAACATGCATGTGTAAACGCTTATAAATCCGACTCTTACAAGGAGAACCGGGAGGTTGTCATCACCGATTTCGACGAAATTTTATACATGTGTAGTATTTACTTGTACTTAAACTCTACCAAAGCCACAGGACCCACTATTCAGAAATTCTAGAGAAAATCACGATTAAAGTTTCTCTAGAAATATTAATACCTATGCAGAAATATCCTTCACACGTTAATCGCGTGGTCTGATTGGTATTCAGGATTTACCTTCTATACCTTAAACGCTATTCCACAGAAATAAAAGTTTTTTTCTAATAATTTGTTTTTAATAAATAAAATCAATTAAAACAGTTTACATTCATCCTAAGTAAAGCATGAAGATAAAATCATTAAACAGATTCTTCAATCAACTTTAGAATGTAATATTTAAATTCAACAAATATCATTGATTTTATTCAGTGAATCATATTACTTTACGCTTATGAATATTCAACTTTTCAAAAAATATTTAATATATAATGTACACTATCTCAGAAATATTTTACATATACATACACGAATATAGGGGAGATCGGGGCAACTTCGGCATGCGGGGCAAGTTTGTCAAGCGCTTTTTTTTAAAAACAAATTAAAAGGAGACTTTGGTTATAGGTTAGGCAGTTGAGTTTTATTGGTGGCTTGTTGAGTGTAGTGTTTTTATTGTTCTCCANTACAATATTATATGTATGTGTATGTGTGTGTGTGCGCGCGCACACGGAAATTGCACCATACTCTTTTAAATTTTCCGGATTAGGCAAGTTTTCCGTTTCTGGCAGAGTGAAATAAGAATTTGGTTTCTACTTCGAAGTATGAACGTTTTTTTTTTTTTACCAATTTTGAATCCAGATATATTATTTGTTAGATTCATTGAAATGACTTTTTCCTTTTATTTTGATGAAAAGAAAAGAGGTCCGAAAATAAAATATACATTCATGTATACAGTTTCAAACGAAAAAGAAAGTACACACGTGTTCTACGGGAAACTTTTTGTGTTGTCTTACTGAAAATATAGACTTTAGGCTCCATCTTGGGTAATTTACTTGTTCGAATTCGATACCCTCAGCTCTCCTCCGTTTGGCGGTAAAGTATTCAACATTTTCAGCAATTTTTTTTTCTTTATACGTGTCAATGCATCGGGAAAAAAGCAGAGTAATCTTCCCGTTGTTTTAAAATCGAACTGAACTTAGACATGTATAAATACGTAAGATACAGCACAAACACAGACGTAAACAGAAAACATATTATCTGAAGTTTCTGTTGAAATCGAACACAAAATCGAGTATAGCAAGTTTCCTTTTTTTACACATTGAAAAATTTTCTTTCGGTATATAGCCAATAGAAAAGTCTCACGCGGTTCTATCTCAATTCAGAAATGGCATAAACTCACAAGCAGGAATCAAAATACGTTTAAATCCATATTTATTATAAAATTTAATGCGCATGTTCGAGATTAATTATTAAAGTTTACTATAATTTTTGCTATACATTACATATAGCCTACTATAAGTTCTTTCACAGAATAAGAATGGAGTCGATGCTCATTATTCAACATATGCGAAGCAAAATAGTCTCGTGTTCATTATAAAGTTCTATATATATATTAGTAAATTATATATTTAAACTGTTATAATTCGTTTGAAATTTCCGGTATTTTTGTAAAAAAAGATTGATATTATAAAAAGCAAAACACGTCACACAATGTCATATGACGTGATTGAATTTTCGAAAATTCAAACGTCACTTGGAGAATTTTCGTTGCTTAGCTACGGCGGTGAAGTGATTACACATTCAAGATCCAGCACATCGGTTCAATTCTTACTCTGATATATACTATGGTTTTTAACACATTTCACTTCATTGTTAGATACTAGGATCTTGTCAATCATGTTAACCGCAATTCATTCATTAGCATAGCGTTAAGCCCAAATCAAATACCGCCTAAAGCATCTTGATTTCAACTATATTATTTAACTAAACTATTTCTAAAATTTATCATCATATAAACAAAATAAATGTTAATAGATTTAATTTAGTTCCTAATGTCTCGATTCAATAATCGTTTGAGTTTCCGTTTTTGACAGGTTACAACTAATGCAAATTAATAAGAGTAATATAATACACAGGTTTCGACTTAGAGGAGTATTTTGTGAGAAAATCTGACTGCAATGTCGAAATAACTGAAATTCTCTCAGGCTATTGGATGTTTCCATCTTAGAGAGATTCCACGTCTCACAGGTTTTACTGTACATAGAAACTAACTATGAATTAGTGTAAACTAGGTGCCAGGGCTCCTTGATCCCCCTTGAGTATGCCACTGGCTGGTTGAATCCATGATTAATAGATCAAAAGGCTATGTTAGTGCCCAAAGAATAGAAAGAATCAAAGTTAAAAAAATAAAAAATAAATGTTTATCTTCACAAATAAAATTCTAAAGCCAGTAAATTTTTTTCAAAAATGTAATTTAAAAGATTAGATTATTTCAATAAAGGAACAATATAAAAACAATAAAAATTCTTTTTGCCTTTATCCATAATTCAGGACAAAAAATAATTATAAAATGTTTTAAAAGAAATAGTTAAAACCTAAGAGAATAGAAACAAACATTTTGAAAATAAAAAGAAATAAAATTAATTGAAAAACTAACCAGATAGAATGTGCAAACAAAGGAAAAAAGTGATTAAGATAATTGTCGAAACTATAAGAACAATTTGAATTAATTTTTAAAACAGAAATTATTTTTCGTATTTAATATATGACAAATATTCATTTGACAGGAAAAAAATATATAAAAAATTCTATCAAAAGTATTAATAGATAAAGTAAATGGAATTATTCGTAACAAGTTCATGAAGGTAAGCAAACAAAACAAATATAAAATTTTTTATTGCAATCACAAGATAATCTAATGAATAGGAATAATATTTTTAAAAGACTTATGAAAATGTAAAATACAAAAAGATATTCTACCAATTAGCAATGTCAAATCTTAACAATTTATGTAAGATATTTCATAAGATTATAGCAGAATATTTATGTGGCGAACTAATTGAAGCATGCCAAACTAGTTGCAGAGAAGATCAATTAATTAATGGTTCAAATCTTCACATTGCAACTTCTAATTGAATTTTACCAAACAATTTAGCAAAATTAACGATAAAAATCTTTAGTGGAATCATGAATTTCAAACAAGCATTTCAGTCTTAACTAAAAGATGATCAAAATTTTATATATAAAAACGTTTTCGGTCTCTCTTCTCTTTTAAAAACCAGATTCAGTTACAGAAGAATCTTGCAATGGAATGGCAAATATTGTATCATAGAATCGAGCAACAATTTAAATTAAAACGAAAGTGAAATATAAATATTAAAATCAACACGTAAATATAAACGCATTAAAATTAATCTGAATGAACTTAATTACAAAACAAACGAATAAAATTAATTGAAAATAACGAAAATTAAAGCTTTGCAAGATTTTAACTGAAATTAATATGTTGTTGCTATAAACATTTAAGCGATAATTGTCATCAAGATGTGAAATAGTTACAATAGTAAATGAAGTAAACAACGATGGCTATGTACTGTACAGTATGCACAACGTAAGATTATGTAACATTAGAAAATTCAAATTTTTTTATTATAAATGTAGATCTAATAAATTTTTCATTAAAACTGGTACTGAACCTATTTTTAATTTACGATATTAAATAATTTAATTCTCTGAATTTTTATAATATATTTTCCTTACAACAATATACGACCTTTTTTTTTTAACCAAAACAGTCACTCATTTATTACAGTATTTTCAAATATTTATCCACTCTGCTTAATTGAACTTACTACTATATATATATAAAACTGTTTTAAGATACAGTATTTCAATGTTTATTTTGATTTTAGAGGACTACAGTAGAGTACATACAATAAAACAAAATATATAGATACATCCTTTCAGAACCAAAACATGAATTCTATTTTGTCAACGAATATACATTATTTAAAATTTAAAATATTCAATTATTGATGATTATA